CGCGGTTTTAGTTTATTTAATTAGTGTTATAAAGATATACTCTTCGGTTGCAGAATCAGAATTCTTTGGGAATTTCTATAATTGACAAATTCGGGATTTTATCGTATATATATTAATGTAACCTTAATATAGGCTACTGAATTTCACTCTCATATTTCGTATTTCAATGAAAGTTTTTCAGTTCAATAATATGTAATTTCATATTATTTTTTTTTACAATTGAAATATATATTTCTATATATATACCTGTTCATGCCGCCTCAGGTTTCGGGATCATATATAAATTAGTGTAACCTAGCTTATTCATGGTTTGTATGCTAAAACAAATTGTTAAAACAGTAGACCTTTCCCCTTATAACTAAAATTTTGATCTAGACAAAAATGTCATAACAGCTTAAAAGAGCATCACAAAATTAGTAATATTCCAAAGTTTCGTTGCGAAATGTTGTAAAATGCGGATAATATATAACCTTGCGAAATTTGCCGTTTTTCAGTCATTTTGCATTACGGATGGGAAATTGACAGCCCAATCGGGTGTTGGGGCTTCCCGTTTGTACTACAAAATGACTGAAAATTGCAAATTTCGCAGGGCTATATTATCCGCATTTTACAACATTTCGCAACGAAACTTCGGAATATTACTAATTTTGTGATGCTCTTTCAAGCTGTGATGACATTTTTGTCTAGGCTTGTCTAGATCAAAATTTTAGGTTAGATATCGCTTCTTAATCTCGTATCCAAAAACATATAATGACAGACAAGTACATGTATGTTCAATGAACCCGATATATATTATTTTAAATTAAATGTCGTTTTATTTACAAAAGGTACTCAGACAAACCGTCAAAATGCACGTGCATCTATGACTACAGTAATAATTATTAATAAATCGATCTCATTTTGTCAGTACGGTTTGTACTATGCTAAAACAAATCGTTTAACAATTGAATGTCCAATTCTGACATTCTTTACATCAACGTGGCTGTCACTAAGCAAGCTATAGTGCTCAAACATATTGTTGGGTTAGATATCGCTTCTTAATCTCGTATTTCCTGATATTTGCTGTGTTGGTGCAGTGTACTCAGGTGAATAAGATCAGCAAATATCATGATTATTAGATTACATTGATATCGAAGGAACTAGACTCAGTTCCGAAATATCGCATACTCGAACCGACCTGACCGCGTAGCTCAGTTGGCAGAGCATTGGGCTAGTATTGTAAATGACGTAGGTTCGATTCCCACCGTGGCCAGGCATATTTTTCAAGCTTGCCTGGTGTGGATATGCACTCAGAGTAACATCACAAGCATCGTATTTCCTATTTACAAAGCAGGCTCGGAGGTTAGTTTATTTTAATCAGTGTTAATCCTACTTTCCAATTCGTCAAAGTTTTTATTTCCTGAGCTAATACTAGTATCATCTGCGTACATGTACTTGGAATCGTATCATGAAGACAACCAGGAAGATAGTTGATGCATAATGAAAATAAGAAAGAAAAAGGTCCCAGTACCGAACCTTGTGGGACACCACATTTTATTGTGCGAGAGCTAGACAAAAATACCGTTTGCAAAACATTTCTGGTTACTGTCAGAGTAGTTTATACATACAAGAATGTATATAAATTACTACAATTACATTTACTATAAATTACATCAGTATAAGTAGTATACCATTCCATAAAACATACATTATTTACAATAAATATATAGACCACTTTCATAATAAACAGATGCATGGTTTAATACTCTTTTATGTGTGCCTTTATTTAATAAGCCTTCGTAGCTTCGTTCTGGTTCAAATACTCCAGTTAATTTCGGTCACATGCAAGAGGACGAGAAGGCGTATTAAAGGAGTAAAGAGAAGAATTGGAATGAAGAAAGAGAGAAAGAAAAGTAAGAAAGATGTTAATTTAAAATATAGGATAAAGAGAGGCCCCTGAAACGGGCCAAAGTTTCATTTCATATTCGTTGAATACGCGTGCGAAGTTTTCCACGATTCTCTCCCGAAATATCTATCCGACGACCTTGAAAAACTTCAAAAATGTGCTTGTAGAATAATATTACCAGATCATGCATCGGTATATGAAGCCCTGGATCAATAGACCTTTCCCCTTATAACTAAAATTTTGATCTAGACAGTAGACAAGTCTATACAAAAATTTCATTACAGCTTGAAAGAGCATCACAAAATTAGTAATATTCTGAAGTTTCGTTGCGAAATGTTGTAAAATGAGGATAATATAGCCCTGCGAAATTTGCAATTTTCAGTCCTTTTGTATTACAAATGGGAAATTGATAATCAGTTTGATCATCTGATTATCAACTTCGCAAGGCTATATTATCCGCATTTTACAACATTTCGCAACGAAACTTCGGAATATTACTAATTTTGTGATGCTCTTTCAAGCTGTGATGAAATTTTTGTCCAGACTTGTCTAGATCAAAATTTCACTCAAAAGGGGAAAGGTCTATTGGGTCTAAGACTCACTACCTTGGCTGCAAGAAGACAGAAATTACTAACAAACGATTTAAAAATATAGTCAACGATCCTGAGAATAAACTACAGGACTTATTGCCTTCAGGAAACTCTTCAGAAATATGCCTACGAGGAAGAAGGATGTTTCAAATTCCTAATTTAAGACAAATAGTTAAGGATGATTTTATTAATTGTAATGCATGTAAACATGTAATTGAATCGAACTAATGTTTAATACGGTTAGTCCATCGACTTTTAACTACTTGTACAACTATTCAGCCGACGTGGAAGCCTTAGGCTAAGACTAGGCTGCGAGTCTTTTAAGTTTAATAAATCTATCCATAGATGTTATATACGCGGTTTGATGTCCAAAAGTTAGATAAAAATTCAGCTTTTGTGAAAATTGGGAAAATGTTGTTGCAAGGAAAAGCACGAAAAACAACTTGGCGGGTTTTGGCAGTGTCTGTTGTGGACTAATTATAAGGTGTTTTTCGTCGATCATAACAAGTTGCTAACATAACACGTTACGAACTTAAAACTTGTTACGAACTTACTCTTTGTTACTCTTTGTTGGAACAATTAGTATACAGGGTGTCTAAAAAAAACGCTATGGAAATTCAACAGCTGGTGTGCATCACAAACTTAACTAAACAATTCAATTTTTACATAGGACGAAAGAGCTGTTATTTAGCTTTTCTATGATACCTTTCTTAAATCGTAACGATGAGAAATGGCCACATACTCGTCAAATAAAAGTTTTCGGTCGAAATCACATTCTTTCACCGTTTGGGAATTGAAAATTCATTAATTATGCAAAGAATCCAAAAGCAACGCGAGCCTGCTGCAAGCTATTTGTTTCGTAAAACGTTTTGATTACGAATGTTCTCTGTTCAGGGGTTAATTGAACAATACAATTAATGCACGTTCTTATGGTCTCACTAAGACGAAGATTGACGAGTTGAGCTTATTTTAGATAATTTAACATTCAATTTTAATTCCCTCTTGCCGTCTTGGGAATTGTTTATGTTTCGTTTTCCATGCAATTCCCAACAGTGGAAGAATGTGATTTCGACCGGCAATTTTTATTTGGCGAGTATGTGGCCATTTCAGTCATCGTTACGATTTAGAAAGAGTATAATTGAAAAGCTAAATAACTGTTCTTTCGTCCTATGTAAAAATGAAATTGTTTAGCCACGTTTATGATGCACGACAGCCTGTTGAATTTCCATAGCGTTTTTTTCTAGACACCCTGTATAGCAAGTCTTTAACTTCTGTTACTTTGAGTTCGAGTTCCATTTTCGGTGATTGCTCATGAATAAAATCATTTGTGCCTCAGTTCAATGATTACTGACGATTATGAGTCGGCGGCTGGTCGGCGTCAGACTGGAACAACTTGGACAGAAATATAAAACTCTCTAGTAGTGTATCTACATTTGGGAGAAACTTCTTTAGCAATCCTTGAATTCTCCCTCGTATAATTTGTAAATATTTTTCACAGTTATGCAGTATATGCGCATGTCTTCCTTGTAATTTTTTTTATTTATAGTTCAGGACCTTTCTGAAAATCACTTTGTGAGAAAGCCTTCCTGAAAATAAATATTAATTTTAAGAATATATGGAAACCTTAAGAGTGTTATTCAATGCGGAATATTTGCGGAAAATATTCGGCAGCTGGATTAATATATGTTTTATACATATACGACTGTTGCGTTTTAAAATTTTGCAGAATCAGAAAGATTTCCAATTCTTTGGGTATCTTTAAAATTGGCAAATTCAGGATTTTATTGCATAATATTAATGTAACCTTTATAACACGGCTGAATTTTACGCATGCAGTTTCAATATTTCAATAAAGTTTTTCAGTTCAATAAATTGTAATTATATATTGTTTCCTTTTTTTATAATTGAGCACCCAAAAACATATAATGACAGACTCTACCTGTAGGCCCTATTTTCAATTAATAACCTGATATATATTATTTTAAATTAAATGTCGTTTTATTTACAAAAGGAAGTCTATATAGTACTCAAACAAACCGTCAAATACACGTCCATCTATGGCTACAATAATAATTATTAAATCGATCTAATTTTGTTAGCACGGTTTGTATGCTAAAACAAATCGTTTAAAAATTGAAAGTCCAATTCTGACATTCTTGACATCAACATGGCGGTTACTAAGCAAGCGCTCAAATAAGGCTTAATTTCCACCAAACCGTTTAAATTCTTTATAATGTTGGGTTAGATATTGTAACGAAGTATTTTAACACCAAATTGTGTGGATAACATAGCTTGAACAGCCTTTGGAAATCATGCTGACGTCAGCAATAACTAAAGAGAAATTGAATTCAAATAAATATATGTCGAGTCAACTCGATAACGTTCCCTGATGCAAGTTAGACAGCCAGCTTGACGGGCCGCTCGTATGCGACAAATTAAATTCATGTCTCATCCAAAAAAGCGATTTTTCAGCACGAATGTATATGAATCAAATTAATATTAATCGATATAATATATCAATCAATTCAGGGTGGCGTATTCACAGTATCGTCACAGCGAGATACCAGAATTCGCGTATGAGTGCTGCGTTGATAGCTGCATCCAACAGCGTAACTCATAGTTGAGGCCAAAAACAACTCGAAAAGTCTCAAAAACGTGTTCACAATTAACCAGGTCCACGGCGCTGGCGATGACTTGTCACCCATAGTTCCGCGGATTATCCATACGAGTGTATATATGTAGAAAAGTGCGCACAGAACGCCAAAAATAGCCGCGAAAGCTGTAATTCTCATAACTTTCGACGAGGCTTCGCCTGTTCTGTCTTTGGTTTTTCCAGTGCCACAAAGTTCGCCACTTTTCTTGCCTGTTTGTTTATATTCAGTAAGGCAAGCCTGTATCCTTCGAGTCTTTTGTAGAACGCGTCCTCCACTAAAAAGCAAACTTAACGCAATGCTCAAACAGCCGAAGAAATAATACAAGCCGCAAAGAAGAAGCAAGAACTCTGCCCCCTTCACATAACTTGTAATGATCTCTGAAGATACGAAGATAATAAAGTGAATAACAAGCACAACTGCTACCAGTCTGTTCCCAAGAGCATTTCGCGAAATCACTTGGACCTTACTAACGTCAAGAAAAATTTTGTGCACGAAAGTAAATCCGGAAAAAAGACAGGGAAACCCAAAGCCGAACAGCAAACGCGGAATCAAAAAAGGAACTCGTTTCGGGGTATTACTTGTGAGTTCGTACGGCGATATACATAACGCCAATGTTCTGGTAAACCCAAAAACAATCACAAGCGTTTGTACAATGGACACGTAACTCCTGTTGGCCATTTTTCCACAGCGAAATGCAGTCTTATACAATTGATATCCATTGTAGAGCACCAGTAGGGCAAAACAAATTGCAAAGAATATCCAGTGAAATTTAAACGCAATCCACCAAGCTTTGTTCACTGAACTAAGATCAATTTGCGGTTCAGCTAGCCCCTCACTTTCAGGTTCAGTTTCTGGTGCGCCCAACTTTTGACTCGGTTCGTATCTCGGTTCGGGCTCAGCCATTGTCCTCCTGTCGTTATTATAAAGCGTCCCAATGTGTTGTATACAGTATACGAACGGTTATTCAAATCGACTATACTATAGTCTTTAGCAGCAGTTCACAGCACAGCTGTATACTCGTTGACTCACAATGATCCTAATATAACAATACTCGTTAAAGGCATTTGATGTCGTATTTGTATGATAGCCACGTATTTGACAGATAGATGATGACTTAATTACGTAGGGCGTTCATGAAATTCGGGTCGTTGCAGGGAACGAAACAAAGACAGGAGTGTAGAGATGGAATGTTGCTCTAAAGTGGAACAATTTCTGTTAAATTATACTGTGTAGCTCTAGAGCTCCAGTAAATCTTTTACTGACCTAATGTCACTACAGGATGAAATCTAAGCCAAACTGACTTGTTTTATTTAAACTGGATAGTTTTATCACGTTCTAAATTTGTTCGTGTGTACGGCCGCCAACTTGACAAGTATACAAGAAATACTTCAACGGTTTTGGCAAACCTGAAAGGCGGCCGTGACGTGTAGTCGTGCATATAGAGATAAATTGTTTAACAATATTCCGTGCATTTGTCAAGGAAAACTTGTCGACCGTACACATGAGAAAGTAAACTTCTCAAAGAAACTTGTCGAAGACACTCGCTCGCGTCCGTGCGGCCCATCAGCTGCTCTAGCTTTACCATACGCAGGAGGAAACTAGAGGGAGGAAACCTACACTCGTCAACAGTTGTTAAAAGCAGGGGCGTGCCAGCCAGCTTTCCCGATTAGCAAATATATCCGTCCTGAAACAACGGCTTGTGGCAAAAGGCATGTGCATGCTAATAATCCTTCCTGATCAACACACACAACCTCATAAGAACTTGGTAACAACTTTGCTACAGAAGAGGTGTTCTAAATATCCTTCCTGATTAACGAACCCTCCCTGCAACAACTTCCTAACAACTTCGTAATAACTTTGTAACAATCTCGTAACAACCTCGTAACTACATCGTAACAACTCCGATCGTCGGCGAGCATTGCATGCAGGCAGGCGATTTTCACAATTGTAGTGCGTCGACGATCTTCGTTGTTTTCATGATTCCGCGAGAATTTCAAGCGTGTAGGGGAACTGGTACCGAGGTAAATGTTCTACGACTGTCGCCGACAACTCGTGCACAGCATTTTCATTGACAAGACGAGTGAACGTTAGATACGTCACGTTAGACGAACGAAAAACACAAATCCACTTTAGAAGTCCTTGGGTAGGTTTCGTGAAAACAGTCCGGGTTTTCGTACGGAGCTGAATATACCGCATCGTGGGCGCAAGCAGATGGCTGGAGGTCTTCCGTTAAACTTAACAAGCTACCCCTTAATTGGATTCCCTTCATTTCATATTCATACAAAACAAGTAGTTTGTTCTTTCATTTACTCAAATTTATTTGTAATTTATCTTCTTTCCGTTTCGTTAATGAAAACCAGCGGTTTCTTTTCAAAACAGATTGCTGTATTTCTTTAATTTAACATTGCCGCCGTGTGAACAGTGCAATATTTGAACACTTTTCGGGCTAAAACGTGCTAATATGCTCATTATTTATGTAGTATTATCGTGGCTGTGCTATTATAATTTCCTGTCCTATAAATACAGTACTAAACATGCAAAGAAAAGAAATGACAACTGGTTCACTAATGATGCCATGTATGATACGCGAGGCAATTTTTGCTGCGGCAACTTGCAATGCAATTACTGATATATAGCCATGTTATCTAAAGGACCGATTACACTTGCAATTTTTTCTGCCATTTCTAGTGCGATTTTCGTCTTCTGATGCATGTGAACGAGTAGACAAAATATGAATTCGTGTTCCGAGTGTATCATCTCAACATTCATATAACTAATCCACTCGTTCACATCCATCACAAGCAGAAAATCCCATTTATTTTTATCGACAGCTTTAATCGTATTTCTTTTATCGGTTAGGTTTTGTATGGAAAGTGTCGGCAGAACGTGGACTACTTTGCGGCAATTTGCAGCAAAAATTTACATTTTACAGTACCCCGTGTTAACATGACAATATATAACAAACAGCCTTATAATCGTCACTGCATGAAATCTTTAAATTAAACAAATTCATTGGATGGTTAGCATTTAAAGCTGTTTTAGGCTTCATGCAGACAATGTTATTTATAGCCGTTTTCTTTCATTTGCACGGCTGTCGATAGAGCACATAAAATTATAAAACAAATGGAGATAATTTCAGTTGCTATCGCAAAAAGGGCCCATATATGTGTTGGACAAATTATAGATAAGACATGCAGAACAGAGGTACTGTATATTTGTATATCGTCTCTGAATCAATATATAATTTGGAAATAAAACGATATTTAAAATAAACTGACATAGGCCTATGTACTTGCCTGATTGAACTGGCTATAGATATACTACAAGTATTTTCATGTCGTTTCAGGTATTTTTATTCGTTTTTTTTTTATGTCCAATTGTTGAAAAACAGTCGTGCGATATACCCCTATTTTGGATATAAAAGCCCCATATGTCCATGGTAGAAATTCTAATTATCTATATACTACTTCAATAAAAAGTCCGCATAAAGTAATGAGCCTCAAGTATCGTTTTTGCGCTCCTATTAATTATTGAAAAACGACTTTGTCCTTGAGTATATTATATATATATATATATATATATATATATATATATATATATATATATATATATATATATATATATATATATATATATATCCGTGGCTTAGCGTAATGTCCATGCATTGAAATTATAACAATAGGCTAATTTCTAAAGGTCTTCTTTTTTTATACACTCTGTATCACAGAATAAAGATCAGTAACAGAAGGGCCACTCAGCGGTGCAACGTGTCCTCGTTTTTTTATGCAAAAATATGCAGTTTACTGGCCAGAAGGCGGAGCAGCCAGCCAGTACAGCGTGTTTATTGGCCAGAAAATGTCATTGACTGGCTAGGAAAATGCGTAATGCGACAACATGCGTAATGCAACATACGCGAGGACAGAATTAAACTCCAAAGCTTCCGACGTAATTGGCCTTTCTATATGGATCTTTATTCTATGCTCTGTATGTAGTGTTTGGCAACAAACAACGTCGACGGCAGAAAACAAAATTACTTAATATACTTTTGTATTTGAGCGAAAACATACATCACTAAACATTTAAAAGCACTTATCTTTAGTTATCTTTCCTTTAAACAACCCTGAAATTCCCTGAAGCAGCAATAGTAAGTGAATTCACATAAAACACTTTATAACCGTGTAAATAACGTAGCAATTAGCCGTGTAAATAACGTAGCAGTAAGTTTGATCAAATACAGTACATGTACTAGATATTCAGCGCCTTCGAATCTCATGCATTGCCCGTGTATTTGCCAAAATCTCTACTTATTGAGCGAACGAACAATGTCAGAAAACGGTGAAAGAATCTAAAAACGTATACGGCTTGATGGATAATCTACGCCGATATAGACTACCGGAATTACAAGCACTAAGTGAAAGCAATCTCAAAACCACATTTTTAAAAATGTTTATTTTTGTAATTTTTCTATTTTAATCCATAATATTGTAGTTGTATAGATCGAAATTATTAAAACTATTTTCAGCAGAATATATAATTGTTGACAAAAATATAAAAATATAGAAATTATATTCATGCACTTTGTCTTTGCAAAACTGCTTTGTCTTTGAGCAGAATATATTAATTATTAACTGTTCTAGAATATATTAATTATTGAGTGTTCTAGAAAAAAATATTAGAGATCTTACGATGTAGGACGGCAACGCAACGACAACGGCCAGAGTAAAATCATTCAAATAAACGATCCTAAAGCAAGTTTGTAGACTATTGTTGATCGTATCGATTTAATACTGTCTGGTTAGCTTGAAATAGTGGTTTATTGTTACTAAGTTCTACTGTAGTACTCAGTCTCAGCTAGTTCGCCGAGTATCATATCTCGCGTCTTGAAATTTGCATTAGGGGCCGATTACATGGAGCATTTTCAACCCCGACGTTAGGGGCCGATTACATGGAGCATTTTCAACCCCGGGGTTGAACTCAGCCCAGTTGACCGGGTTGAAATTTCAGCCCTGTCTGTAATACAAAACTCTATCAAAATCAAACGCGCGATTACATGACAAAATTTTCAACCCAAGGCTGAGTTCAACCCCAGGGTTGAATTTCAACCCTGCTTCAGGTAGCAGGGCTGATATTATTCGAGCATGCGTGCTAGTGACTATTTATTACAAGAAAACGAAATGGAGCCGGTTTTTTTACTTCTGGGAATCAATGTCGGGAACGTATAGCATTTCAACCCCGGGGTATGACATCGTCCATGTCATCGCAAAAAATTTCAACCCGGTTAGCAGGGCTGAGTTCAACCCCGGGGTTGAAAGTGCTCCATGTAATCGGCCCCTAAAAGTCGATAAACAGACCGTGGATGACGTATCAAACTCCCGTGGGATATTACTAATTGTACATTTTTTTCTTAAATACAGTATTATTAATCCCATTGTATGAATACAGCCGTCGTTGTCGCATTGCCGTCTCACATCGTAAGGTCTCTAATCTCGCACCGACGACGAGAACAAGCCGCCAGCAAGACGCCCGGCAATCGATCAAATAATGTCAGATAAGAGCTCAGTTTACCGCAACAAATTACAATTTTTGTTTCTTCGGAAAGTTTAAAGGATACACAGAAAGAATATTGTTTTTTATCTGAAAGAGTTTTAAGTGCCGTTGATCTCTCTATAATGAAATAATCTTCGCCGTACGGCGTTAAAGGAACGGCTAAAATTTTACTGTTTAATGTTAGAAAAAACTTTACATTTTACTGCTAATCTGAAATTTCAGTAGTGTTACAATGCTCCCAATGGCAATGTTACATTTTCTTGCCTCCTATATTTCATATTTCGTGCAATTAAAAGCATTTCCCATCATTTTCAAACTCGTAGGGCTTCTAAGCGCCAGGGCTTCTAAGCGCCGAA